TATACTATTAACTATGATACAATGATCTATATATGAATTATGATCTGCCTTTTGTTATTACTTATTTCCGCCCTTTAATTTCCACCATCCCTTTTTTTCGATGTACGAAATGATTGCATGGCAACTTTTACACTTTGGAGTTTTCGTTGTTTGTTTGACTCTATGTTTCAGTTGCTTTTGGCCTAAGAGCATCTACAATGCTTTGGGTTCAATCTCAAAAAATTACATGCCACATAAGAAATAGACTCAGTCCAAAAAAATATATTCTCCAATACAAATAAAAATAGACTGGGTCCTGCTGATGTGGCAGTCAGAAAAAGAGACTCGGTCTCCCCTTAAGTCCATTTTTGGTTTGATGGTAGTAGTGTAGGCCGCGGGTGTTGTGCGGTTCTCCTGCGTGTATTACCTTGTATTAAGCCAATTGGTTTGTTGATTTATACATTTGTATATTTAGTGCTATATATTTTTGTCGTTGCGGAAAAAAGAATACGTCCACCATATATACCCAGATTATTGGTCGAGAAACTTCCTTTAATTCAATTTAAGAGAAAATAAAGAGTGAAATTTTATTGTTACTTATATAGATATAATATTATATTATTACAATACTCGTGTACTACCTGATATTTAATAAAATATTAAAATGTACAACTAAAAATTAAAGAAAAATAATGTTTGTTGAAGTTGAAAAAAATAAATAAGAAACAATATATAACAATTTATAAATTAAGAATTAAATGAATTAACAATATTATTTTAAATTTTGAAAAATAATTTATATAAATCATTAATTTTATTTATAAATTTTTAAAAAAAAAAAAAAAATTGAAAAGGAGATAACATGCACCCTATAGAAAGAAGATAATAACTTAACGTGTTCACCACATAGCATTGCTTTCGTTAGCCTCTCGACATACTACTAACTCAACCACCACCACTCTTACATAAACTAAATACGCATCATAAACGGTTTTCCTACTGGAGAACCTTCATTCATGATACACCGCAGTTTGAACCATTTATATGATTAGAGGTGGCTAAATGTTGGTTTCGGTTCACATTTTATGAGAACCGAAACTGACACGGGTATATATACGCGTTGGTTCGCGAATCGGTCAGTCGATAGAGGGGTGAATCGGTATCCTACATGTGTTAAAAAAACTAATGGAGGGGGATTTTAAAAAAAAATGGACTTGGACTTAATTGAGATATTATATGTTAAAATATCAAGTAAGTTGAATTTTTTTCGGTTAAAAAATAATATTTTAACTTATAAAAAGTCAGTTAACTTGCCTATGTATCCTTTACCTCAGGAATCAACGTCCTTGTAGTTCTATTATTTTATTTAGCTTGATTAAAAAAGATGGCAAGATACGTTGAACGATCTAGTAATCGTAGGCCTCGTAGTCGTCTTTTGTTCTGACGGTTCCACTAGTACTAGAAAAATCATATGGTTCTTCTTCGTCATCCTCTTCGGTAGTTAGCATGGCCGCTTGTTCCCTTTGTTCGGCATTCTTCCAATCACCAAGAAGCATGTGAGCCTCTAAGTTTTGTTACGTCAACCTCGACCATCGTGCGTCCAGTGTATATCCTCCCTCACTAAGTGTTTGTTCAACCGCCACAGTTGAGGCTGGGACAGTAAAAATCTCCTTGGCTGAATCATGGAACAAGATAATTGGAACTCATATTTTACCACCAATCTAAGACATCAATTGTGAGTGGCGAAATTGGTGGTTGGGTAATTAAAAGTCTCAGGTTCGAGGTCAGGTAGTGATCAAGCTCATTAAATCTAGTCCCCATTACCCTTTGGATCTTATTGTTGATCTGTATACTAACATATTGGCTTTGTTACGAACTAATTTTCGTATGAATGAGAATCATGTTTAATTAAACATGTCTATGTTCTATTGTTTTACATTGTAGATAGATATGGTTCATCATGAATCGACAGAAAATCATATTACCAGTTCCTTGTAAAATATAATATTTTATTAAAAACCTAGACCGAATTGAAGGAACTATCGTGAACGGTTGAAGTGTGATTTTAGAATTTGTCGGTCTTGACTGATGATTGACACTAGTGCCCTAAGAGTGTATTGAACATACCTGCAGAGGAAAAGTGTATTTTATACTGACCAAGTAAATAAACTATAAATCGATACTTATTTCAAAATGTTAATACGTAAGATAGTAACGGTCACGTGCACTCAGTATATATTTCTTTGATTCACCAAAAAGTGCGACTTATTCTGTTAAATAAAGTCTCAGTGAGTTGGGAAATAATGTTCTTTGATTGTGCACCAGTTTGATGATGTCCCCAAAATGAGCTCAAGAAGAATTATTATACCAAGCCCTGCAGGAGGATTTAGTTCTGGTGTAATAATAAAGAATTTAGTGGTACTAGTTCGGAACAAGAAGTTAATTAATTATATTTTAAGTAATTAAATTAATTAACGGATATTATATCTTAAACAAGGGGAGATAAATCGAGTAGATTAATCTAGAACCTCAAATATACATTGGGGGCTAAATAAAAGTTCAATAATATTCCTTTAGTGGAAGGAATATAATTCTTGTTTATTGAGTGTAGGTGGATCAGAACCTAAGGAATATAATATTTAGCACCTCCTCAAAGTCCTTGTTGTAGTCTACAAATAAACTAGTTCCTTAGGAATTCCGGTCGCCCCTCCCAAGGAAAAATCACGAGAATTTTTTTGACCTTTTTTCGAGATATCTGTTCGCAAAATATTTTCACTATCCGCAAGTGTACGGTATAGCTGTAGTGAGTGGCGAGCAAGGTCGTATTCCACAGAGATTGTTGTCAAAATTAACCAAGTATCAAAATGTAAACGATTAAATATTATTTAGTCTAATGCAAATTTGAATGGTGATTTTATTCTAAACTAATGAATGATTGCAAAATAAATTCTAACACTAATGAAGGCTTGTTCTAAGATAAATCAAGAATGAGAAAATAGATTCTAGGCTATGCTTTCCTCGGGATTATTCTAACAAAGATTAATTATTCATTCAAACCTTATTTAATTCTACCATTCGTAGGGATAATCACTAAAGTAATTTACACCTTTCTCTCGAACAAGTTAAATCGTAGATATTAATTGTTATCTATCTCCTCTCGGTCTCAAGATGAACAATCAACTCCCATAAGCTCCTAAGATTCTAGTTCCCTCGCAAGATTCTATCAACCTCTCGGTCTGTTTAGTCTCTTACGTTATGAATTTCCCAATTCTAGCAATCAACTATCTCCTCTCGGTCTCAAGTCAATCACAAATATGCATAAATACGGGCCCTTATATTCACACAATAATCAAAAGCACAAGAAATTGATAAACGAATGATAAACCGGAATGAATAAACAAAATCACTTCATTAAATAATCCGAGTACTCGCAAATCCTAGAATCCCTAAAAGGTTTAGCTACTAAACATATTCTCAAAACTCAACATAAGTATATTCATGAGTTCAATGAAGAAAAAAAAGAGAAAAGAAAGAAGAACTATTGTCGCCGTTAGTTCCCGGATCTTCAATCTTGACTTCCTCGAATCCCTCGTGTGTTTCGTGCTTCCTCTAGGCCTCCAATGGTGTCAAAAAGTCCCAAAAACGAGCTCATAAGGCCTCTTTTATACTGTAGGGTCATTCAGGGTCGAAAAAGGGAAGAAAACGCATAAGAATCCTATTCCCCGCAGGTTTGGTCTGCCGTCACACGAGTCGTGTGACATGCCACACGAGTCGTGTGACCTTTCTCCAATTCTCGACAAACTCCCAGACTCACACGAGCACTCACACGACAGGGTCACACGAGTCGTGTGAAGCCACACGACTCGTGTCCCAACCCACACGACTCGTGTGGAAATGCCGTAGCTGCAGTTCTTATTTCTTCAACCCACACGACCCGTGTCACTATCCACACGAGTCGTGTGACCTCTTCTGCACCTGTTTTCGCCGTTTTTCGTCCCGATTCCATCTCCAACGCATTTCCGGGCATATTTCCTGCAAAAACAACGACAAAAACACATCTATCATAGTTTAATAAATAAAACGAAATGGTGCACAATCACACGTTAATCATGGCCAAATATCACTATATATCACTCATAATGCATGAAAATATGATGAATGTCAATATCGAGAGCTAGAGAAGAGAGGAAAATATAGTGTCCAAAAACACAAGACCTTCTTTATTCGTTCTTCAAAGCAATCATGCGAGATTCAAAAGGGAGATTCTGAGTTCGTCGCCCACCAAGACGTACGGAGTCGGTGTGAGAATACAACAGAAGATCCTGAAGTAAAAGAAGACCATGTTCGTTCCGTCCCATGTATCGACTAAGTTTGTATAGAGTTTGCAGGTTTTAAACTGTAAGTTTTCAATCCTAATATCTAGATCTGAACAAATGGTATCAGAGTGAAGGTTTCACTCGATTTTGTACAAAGTTCGAATTCTTAAGAACCTATGTGAACAATGTGTGTACGATCGCAGCCATAGTATATTCTAAATGCATAACTCGTTTTTGCAAGGTTATTTGAATCAACTATTATGGCCAAAATTGTTTGCTGCATTCTTGCATGTTTTGAAAGCCTCAGTCATGTCGAGGAATTTTTGGGTTGTGAATCAGTTAAATAGATTTTAATGCACTGCGGGATGTTGTATAGTTTACTTCTTTCTAGATCAAACATGTAAACCCCCGCATGGTTCGTAGGATCAAATGTTTTAGTTTTTATTTATTTTTTATGAGAACAACGAATGCAACTTGTCGGACGAACGACGAACGCGACCAGACCACCTTGACACGGCGACCCAACCAGCCAAGGCTCTGCGGCAGTGCAGTCACGCAAAGGCTGCCAACAACTTGTTGTAGGCGACGCCTAGTCACGCGGGCAGAGTGCAGGCGGACAGGTGCGATAATGGCGTACGTTGGCAGGCGAGCAGGGCATGAGGCAACCTCGATGACAGGGCGACAAGCTCCGGTGAAGGGGTAGCACATGGCATGCGATCTACCCACAGACGCTCACGTGCAGCAGCACCCGAAGAAGTCAAGAACATTGATGCCCATTGCTCGGCAATGATGCGCAGCGGCCAGTGCAAGCCATGCGCAAACACAGTGGGAGACGATCGGTGACACGCTGTAGGCAGATGCCTGCAATTTTTGTTCGATCTCCTTGTTAGAGTAGGGTACCCGGCGTTCCAATCTAATTGGACGTATTCTACTTGTAAATACAGTCTATTGGAATTATATTAAGAATAAGGCATTTCTTTATCTTAAGAGAAAGCATTTATCTTATAATTGCACTTAAGATAAAATCCCTAGATCACTTATGGTTATAAGGTATGGTTGCGCATAGAGATGGTGATCATGGAACATACCTTGAAAGCCGTGATCTTAAATACAGTTCCAAGTCGATGGATGTTTCGAGATGGGATATCGAATAATCCATAAAAGACTTGCACATAGTTTGTATGCTTGTTGGACAAGAATGTTGCATTCCATCAACATTAGCGTAAGACGTAAGTACATTTATGTGGGTGCTTGTTAGAGAACAAGTTCACTGAACATGACCGTATGAAAATTCTTAATGAAGAATTTATTCAGTCGAATAAGAATTTTCATGTTACAATAGTACATGACTAATCCTAAGACTTGAGGCACAATGGTAACTTTGTGCATATTACATTCTACTTTGATTTATCCTTTTGGTAGCTAGCACTATCGTTTAAAGGGATAAGTTGGGTATTATGTTAATATGTATGGAAGTTTGTTAGTGGCCAATAAAGGATTCGACACTTATGAAGATAAGTGAATTTCCTATGTGTTTCATAGTTATTAATCCAAAGTCCTTGGCCAAGGCAGAGATGAATAGTGATTCATAACCGGGTTAATAAACATGAAATAGAATCATAGTTATTAAGTCAATTTGGGTTTCGACAAAATCATACCCAAGACTTAATCGGGAAATTAGATGTCGAAAGGATTTTACATGTATGGAGTTGTAATCGGAATAGGTTTACTCGCTATTCACTTAATACTAGATTCATGCTACTTGCTAGGTGTTACCATGATATGTGGGTTCATAAATTAAAGGGTTAATTCATGAATAAGAGTTAATAAGATTTAACTCAAATTACAAAGTGTTGTAAACCCACTACTAGTATTAAGGTGAACCTAAAAGGTCACACTAATTATGAACAAAGGTAAAGATTGTATTTCTAATGGTTAGAATTAATTGATAAATATCTAATTTGATTAGATATCAATTAAAGGAATATATTAATCAATAAGATTGATTAATTACATTTTGGATATTACTTTAGTAATTAAGGTAATTACTAAATTAATAAAGTTGAATTTTAAAATAGGATTTTAAATTTCAAAAATCCAAAATAATAATAATATGATTATTATAATATTGGGAAAATGATATAATAATAAAGTCTTGAGAAAGATTCTCAAGATTTATTATCCAATTATTATTTATATCTTTAAATATGATTTAAGGATTAAAATAATAAATATGATTATAATAAAATGGTTGTTGATGGTTGTTTGAACTACTTAACATATCTTATTATTTTCAAAGTCAAAAGTTAGTAAATACTATTTAAATAAAATTTGATTTTATTTAATATTACTAAATGTTGATTATTTTATGCTAAAATGTTTAGTATAAATATATGCAAAATGGTTTTGCATTTAAGTGAAGTTTTTGATCCTAAATTTCTAAGTGTTAGAAAGAGAAGAAAGTGTTCTTCATAAAACTTCAAGAAAGAGTTCTTAAAATTCCCAAATAAAATTCATAAATATTCCTATACAAGAAAACCGAGTCTTTTCTACTAGCGAAGGAAAGTCGTCGGAACCGGGCTTCATAGGGTGGATACGTTTAGAGGGAAGACACTTGGATTCCTCTAGCGAGTAACCTCAAGTCGTTGAAGTTACAACCGGGAACCGATTCCCTCATCCATCATCAATAGTGAAGGAGTTCAAGAAATTCGGTAAATATTTTTACTAGTATTTACTTTATAGTAACAAATCAAAATTTGTATATGATGCATGTTTTAAAGATGACGATCAGTTAATTCGCAATTAGTATGTACGGGTGTTGTATTTATACGATAAATACTTACTTTAAAAATTTTAAATTCCGCTGCGTACAGCCCGTACGGTACTATCGAACCCAACAGTGGTATCAGAGCCACGGTTATCATCTTTAAAAACAGATTTTGATTTGTTTATGTTTATATGATAAACATTTTTAATCATATAAATTTGTGTGTGATACAAAAGTTGTATTTGATTTTAATTTTGGGATTAATAAAAATGAATCGAATTGTTCGAGTTCATACGGCCAGAAAATGTTTCTGATCAAGTTGATTAATATATATACAAGTTGTTGTGTATATATTGAAATTAGTTTCATGATTAATTAATTATAATCAATAGTTGATTAATATATATACAAGTTGTTGTGTATATATTGAAATTAGTTTCATGATTAATTAATTATAATCTATTATTGATTAATATATAAATACATAAAGATGTATTATTGCAAGTATTAATTGCCATGACTCAATTGTTGAGTTATAGATAATGTATCTATTTGTCCAATATAAAAGTCATGAGATGACATTATTTAAAAAAAAAAAAAAAAAAAAAATGAATAGTCACACTGGTCGTGTGACTATGTGACACGGGTCGTGTGACCTCACACGGGTCGTGTGAGGTGCCACACGGGTCGTGTGGACAAATGGACAATTATAAGTTGCTTGCGGTTTTTTCACACGAGTCGTGTGACCACTCGTGTGATCACTCGTGTGACGTCACACGGGTCGTGTGACCACTCGTGTGACCACTCGTGTGGCATAAAAAAAAAAAAAAATAAAAAAATAAAAAATTCTTAATTATTATGAATACTTAAGTTTTAGATTATTAACTATTATGAATAGTTAATAATATAATAATCCCAAAAGTAAATCAACACACAAAAGATGGAAAATTTATATGATTCATAAAAATTCGATTTTTCCACACGAGTCGTGTGAGTCCACACGAGTCGTGTGACGAGCCACACGAGTCGTGTGAGTCTGGGAAAAATTTTGATTTTCAATTCGTATTTTTCACACGAGTCGTGTGATAAGATCACACGGGTCGTGTGACCCTCACACGAGTCGTGTGACTCATAAATTGATATTTTATGTTCATTTCATTAGATGAATGTTTTAGGGATGATCATGAGCCTCATATTCATTATGTTTGAATGGATGTTTTCATTTTCAATATGATTGAATGAATGAATGGATGTTTAATTATGTTTTCAATATGATTGAAGAAATGTAATTTATCGAGACCTGCGAGTCTCTTGAGATGAAATTTGTAAAATTTTAAATTTTGTATCGTTAGAGATTAGATCAAGGTGGAGACCGTTCGATGACAAAGGCCCACGCATGTGTGGGTAATTTTACAAGTTGTAATCTCGAAGGCCTGTGCTTGTACGGGTAGATAGAATAAATGTAATAGAAGTAGTTCTATTATTTGTTTTATCACGTACATAGGCATAGATCCATTTTGGCTCGAATGGATCGAATAGGCAAGGACATGATCATCCCACCATGCATTAGATGTATGTTAGGTTTATTTACGCTTTCGTTTCATTAGATGACTGAAACTGGTAAATAAACGTAAAGATGGTAATCGATGAGATCAAGGAACCCAAACGGATTAATTTGATTAATTCCATATCAAATCAATAATGGATAAAAATAAGTTGGAACTTATTAATCCCGGCCTTCCATCAAAAGTAGATGACATGAGATGCTACGATGTTTTATCATTGGCCACGAGTCGTGGGATGATTCTATGTCGAAAGCTGTGAACTCTATTAAATATATTGATATTCGTGAGACGGATTCCTCTTTGTGTTGGCCATGAGTCGTGGGACACTCTGGTGGGCCGTTATCATGAAAGTTTTGATGGGTTTGATTTGACACCGAGTAATATATATGGAGTCATAAAATTGAGGTATATAAGGAAAGGTGAGGCAAAACATCTTGAAGGTTGTATAGAGATACAATTGTCAAAAAGTTGACTACCGATAAAATTGTTTCATGGTGGCATCATAAAATTGGGACATGAAATATTTTTATTGGACTTCAAGCCCACTATGAAAATAATGATTTTCATAATTATAATGAGGTTCTAATTAAATTAGTGGGAGACATTTAATGTTAAAGACCTAATATTAAATGAATATAAATTCCATAGTCTAATTATTTTCTGCTTCGTTTGTTATTTTTGTAGATCAAACTACTAAAATGGCTAAGAATCCAATCGCGAGTATCCTTGATCATAATAAATTAACTGGTCCCAACTTCAATGATTGGTTGAGGAACCTAAAGATTGTTCTTCAGTCTGAGAAGCGAGAGTATGTTTTGGAAACAGCTCCTCCTCCTCCACCGGAGGATCAGACTGCTGAAGAGTATGGAGCCTACTTGCGTCATGTTGATGACAATCTCCAAGCTCGGTGCTACATGCTAGCATCAATGTCTAATGAGCTACAGAGACAGAACGAATTACTGAATAATGCTTCTGAAATCCTAACTCACCTGCAAGAGTTGTATGGTGATCGGACGCGACAAATTAGATATCAGATATCTAAAGAGCTTTTCAGGTGTCGTATGACCGAGGGCTCTTCAGTTCATGATCATGGACTGAAGATGATAGCTCTTGTGGAAAGACTCGAATCACTTGGAGTCATTATGGATAATGAACTCTATGTGGATTTATTGTTGCAATCTCTGCCAGCGTCATTCGATAACTTTGTCGTTAACTACAACATGCATAATATGGAAACTGATCTTCCAGGATTATTAAACATGTTGAAGACGGCTGAGTCCACCATTAAAAAGGACAAGCCGGTACTTCTTGTTGGATCCACTTCCGGATCAAAGGCTACTAAGTCTAAGAAAAGGAAGAGGAAGGGAAAGGTTCCCAATAAGCCCAACAAGAAGGCATATAATGATAAAGGGAAGAACAAACAGAAGGTTAATTCTCAGGCCGATCATGAATGTTTTCATTGTGGCAAAACTGGGCACTGGAAGAGGAACTGCAAGGAGTATCTTGCTAGTCTGAAAAGTTCAGGTATTTATTTTGTTGAAGTTAACTTGTCTGTTAACGATTCTTCTTGGGTATTGGATACCGGCTGTGGCTCACATATTTGCAATGATTTGCAGATGATGGCAAGAAGTAATATGCTAGATGGTGAAGAAACAATCCTAAGGATGGGCAATGGGGCAAGAGTTGCTGCTAAAGCTATTGGGACTGTTTATCTAGCATTGAATAATGATGTAAAGATTTGTCTATCAAACTGTTTGTATGTTCCGGATTTAATAAAAAACATTATTTCTATTCCAATATTGGATAAGGAAGGTTTTAAGTTTGTCATTGAAAATGGAAAAT